GCTTTCATCCAGAGCGTCTCTCACATGTTCCGCCATGTGCTTCTCGTCCGCGCTTATTTACATCAGAGTGCGCACGCCTCTTTCACGCAGCATACAGCGGTGTTGTGCATTTTGACCAGTTGATGGGAAAAGTATTCTTAAAATGCATTCAAAATTCTGAATAACTTGTAATATATAATTATTCACGGTATTTAGAAGAGCCCACGATAACAATATCGTGCATATTCATTACCGTGATATATCGCATTACCGGATACCGGCACAAGTCTACTGTGTAATATCATTGCGCCTGCTGCACCCATGGTACGGCAGCAAAGTTCCTTGATTACGCCGGAATGAGAGTAGCCATATCGGCCTAGAAAAATCGCAACTTTTCATTTTCCGTCGGTCTTAGTACACAGTGTAACTACAGAAGAGTCAAGTTTTAAATAGGAAAAATATAGAAACTCTTTGGTCATTTTTGAGCGAGTTGCTAACGGTCTAATCCGATTCAATTATCTATGCTAAGCTACAGCTAAAAGTGCTACCGCCAGACCCGGAGATCGGCTGAATGGATTCGAAAACGGTAAAACTCAACTGTTTAACTCTAGGGGAGTTGGAAAATAAGCCTATTTTCAAAAATAGTGGAGTGTTCCTTTAATTTGCTATATAAGCATGTTTACAGAATCCAGTTTTCTAGTATTTATCTTCTACTTTACAGTGGTGCTTAACACCACATGTTTCTTTGTAGGATAAGTTGCAATATAAAAAAAAATAGCAAGTGTATCACTTAGCCATAGGTTCTTCTGATTGGAATTACATTAGTAATCAAGTTTTTAAAATGGTAGACCATTTGGAAGTTAGGCTTTGAAGATTAATTTCTTTTTCAATCATAAATGTATTTGTGATTAAAAGAAACCGTCTAAAAACAACCATTATGCAAAGTTTTTTGCACTCCATTTTAAAACTTTGTTTTTTTTTTTTTAAATAGACATATGGTTTAGATTGTGCTTCTGTAATGCTACAAATCCTTATCAAATTTAACAGGTTAAAGACAAAGGAATCAAAACCAACAATTTCATAAAAATGTGGTATAATTGTTTTATGATTAAACACTTATTTTTGCATATACAAATGTACAGTAACTACACCCATTTGAATATTAATCTTATCCTTAAAATCAGACGCGTGTTCTTAAACAAGCCCTTATTAAAATGAATAGTTCAACCAAATAAAGAAACTTGTCACTTGCTCACCCTCGTTTTATTCCAAACACTTATACTTTATCTTTCTTGTGCAAGATATTGTTATCCAATTACTCCTTTCCACTGATTGAACAAAAACAGCTGAAACATGCTTCAAAATATCTTCTGTTCTTCAGAAGAAAAGAGTCCTAAAAGTCTGGAATGACACGAGGGTGAGCACATTTTCATTAAATGAACTTTTTACAACGGTTTAAACAATTAGTTCAAAAGGTTCATATCATTCAGCCTCAACCCAAGATGTAAAAAACTCTTAAGTTACAGCTACTGTGGGTCTTTCAAAAGACAAGACAATTCATTTTATGGTACCATCTGTAATGGTGAACTACTTTGGCGACTCAACACATCATTGCATGTTAACATTATACCACTTCCTTTTAGATTCTATCAGCAGAAAACTACTAAACCGAGTGAATTAGTGCTTTAGCCAAGGGTGAGCAGCGACAGCTTCTTTACTGCGGTCACCGTAATCATACAGCAGCTCCTCGTCTACTCCGATGTCTCTGGAAGCCAGGAAGATGAGGTGAGGTGTGCCATTTATCTCGTGCAGTTTGGTCCGAAGGTTGCCAGTCTTACGGTGGTTGATCAGCCGGCCCAGACGGTTGGTTTCTTTGGTAGCATCCACACTAGAAAAAAGTAAACATACCATTTTTATCTGTCTCTCTTACCATTTTCTCTCAATTCCAAGTAGAGATTTAACAGACCCAACTGAGGAGTTCAGCTCGGTTCATACTAGGGTTGCAAAAAGGTGGAAAATTTCCAGCAAATTTCAGAAACATTCCAGAAATTTGGGGAACTTTCCAGGATTTTTTGGAATATTCCAGGGATTTTTGGAAATGTTCCACCCCTTTGCAACCCTAGTTCATACAGATCGCAGTGTTCACTTCATTAAAGCATATCAATGCCCAAAGTGAGATCTTCACAACAGGAGACGGTTAGTTTTATAAAAGATAAAACACACCAAAATACTCACCAGTAGGTTTTGTCGTGGTGGCGGAAATAGTACATGTAGCAGCCAATGGTTGGGTCTTCAGCATATTGAGTTTCTCTTGCCTTTGCATCAGCAATCTCTAACAAATCCCCATGATACTCCACTACAAACTGGTCTTTCTGAAACGCCCGGTCTGCAAAAACACCTCTTCCTTTTCCTTCAATACTTTTCACCTGATTTTGAGAATAGCAGGAGCTTCAACCAAGGCATGCACGGTTAAGTTAAAATGTTGAGCGACTGCTTAAAAAGCTTACCTTGAGCCCCTCTTCAACATTGTTTTTGATGAGATCATCAATGTGCCGCTGCTTTTCACACTGTTTTAACACAACACTTCCACATTTAGCTTGGGATTTAATAAACGTTTGACAATGGTAAAGTAAATGCATGTTAAAATTGATTCATCAAATGTAAATTGGTATCAGAAAAGGGGTTCTAAAACCAAAAATGCCCCATTTTAACTTAAAATCACAACAAAACTCAAATAGCAGCACGCACTTCTTCTGTATTGTGATACGAGTATAATGGGGAAAAAAAGCGTAGAGTGGGACTTGGTTCAACGCATCAATTATTATCGGTTTTTGAAATGTAGGTGTGGCCATCAAAGATTGCAGGGGCGGAGTTAATGTACATTAAGGGTTCGTTTACACGACAACAATTGTACTAAAAACAGAAAAAAAAAAAAAAATTTCCTTTGCGCTTTTGGAAAGTTTTGCATATAGATGACAACATTGTCAAAATGATCCCAGTTCTGCAAAAACGACTAAAAATGCTGTATTATGGATGCCAGGCCAGTAGTTGGCAATGTCTCTTTGTAAAAGAAACACTACACGCCTTTGCACCAGTGTTGCCAAATTGGGCTACTTTAACACCGTTTCCACGGGTTGAAGCGACCCCAATAACGTGAGATTTATGAATGGCCAAAACGCATAAAAAGTTTTCCGTTATTATTGCAAACGGTTGTGTAAAGGCCCCCTAAACGATTGAAGAAGTCCTGCACGTCACCAGAGAGAAGTGTGACATTTTTACCAGAAGATCCAGGTATGAAAACAGATGTTTTTTTTTTGTTTTTTTTAAGTAAAACATTTATGGATGAATATTTCACAATAAGCTCTATATCATGCATTTAGAAAATGACTTCAAGAATAAACCCCAAAAAAAAATTTTTCAGATTCTGGAAGGGTTTACCAACCTTCAACTCAACTTTGCTTTTCCTGCAACTTCGTCTAACAGGAAAATAATCTGTGACCTTTCGATTGGGTTCAGACTGTTTGTCTTTCAATCTGAAATGAGATAAACACACAGTAAGACCAGTGCAAAGGATGCATATAAACCTTCTCTTTCATTCAAAAACAGTAAACACACCCACAATATGTCCCTTAATCAGATGATAAACCGTTAAAACATTTAAAAGCATTTAAAATTAGACATACTTCCTATCCGTTGACTTTTCACCATTTATCCTTTGCGTCCTTGTCCCAGACCCTTTCTGAGGCACAGCAGCAGTCTGCTCACTAGCTCCACAGATAGGGCTCTGTTTGCCAGTGTCCCCTCCTTTAGGTGCATTCAGCTCTGCATCCTTGACTAACCAAAGAAAGAAGAAAGCAGTAAGTAAAACCAACTTTGGAGAAAAGTATTTGGGTGAAACACAATGGCAAATGGGTATTTCGTTAAAGGGATAGTTGACCCAAAATTAAAATTCTGTCATTAATTACTCACCCTCATGTCGTTCCAAACCCGTAAGTCCTCAGTTCATCTTCGGAACACAAATTAAGATGGAATCTGAGAGCTCTCTGACCCTCCATAGACAGCAAGGGTCCTT